TCTCCTGGACTCAGTCCCCTCTCCGGGATCCTGGGCTGCGAGCTCTGCCCGGGTCCACAATCGCCGCCTCACTGGGTCCGCCCGCCGCAGCTTGCGTAGTCAGGGATCACCGCTGCGTTCTTGTGCCCCGGATGGCTGTCGCGCCGATTCCGCGCCAAATTTTCCCCGACCTCCGCGCGCTGCCGACCCGTGCCTGCCCCGCACCCGCCCGGCTCGTCGTCTCCTACCGGTCTGGATGTACGGGTCTACTTCAACTTCTTGGCTGTCCGACTTCCATTCAGATAAATCCTCTGTCAGTTCTGAGTGATATTCTATCTGTAAATTATTGTTGTTCTAATCTTGGTTGTGCGAGGAGGTACGGTGCGTCTACCTATTCCTCCATCTTGCCGGAAGTCCCTGAATTTTCAAACTTAGTGAAAACAACTAATTTAATATTTTATTGTACACATAGACTGTCAGTTTAGTTATAAGAATCAGTTCATCTCTTATACTTGCTAGTACCTTGATGAAAAAATATGTATATGAAAATTAACTTGTGGTACTACTTACTAATTGGCAACAGAAGGTCTTATCCCTGGTAACTGAGGTTCTTTTTTTAAAATTATTTTTAAATTTTTCAACTACAGTTAAATCTTCAACATTGTATTAGTTTCAGGTATATAACCCAGTGTGATTAGACATTTAAATAACTTACAAAGTGATCACCCTGATAAATCTAATACCCATCTGACACCACGCATATTAATTACAATGCTATTGACTATGTTCCCTGTGCTGTATTTTGCATCCTCATGACTATTCTGTAACTACCAATTTGTACTTCCTAATCCCTTCACCTTTTTCACCCATCCCACCAGCCCTCTTCCCATCTGGCAAATGTCGAAATGTTCTCTGTATCTATGAGTCTGTTTCTTGTTTGAAGTCTATATATAGCTCTTCCCTTGAGATACCTAAAGCAAGAGGAATTAAAGCATGCTGTGGGAAATGTGAAATGCATCGATCATTTGAATAGACTTGTTATGGATTTTCTTCATTCCTATTCCCTTGGTCCAAAATATTTTTAAAAACTAAAATTGCCTTTTTTCTCTTTGCCCATGTTTGCAAGCTCATATGGAAGCACCAATGCTTTAAAATAGTTTTTAATGGTAATGTTTGGCTTATATTATATAAATATGTTTAATGTTTACAGTCATTGTCATCATTTTTAAAACTGTTTTATTGCTGTTACTGTTTTGTTACTCTTTTGTTTACATTGCTTCTTTGAAAGCTCAGATTTGTTTAGTTTGCGCTCAAATATTAGCCTGTTCAGGGCCTAACAGATAGTGAGTAATAGTCATGAAACCTTAGACAATTCATTTAAATGTCTAGTGTCAGTTTCATTATCTGTAAATGAATCTGTTGCGGATGGTCCCTTAGGAGAGTGATTCTGAAACTGAAGGTGAGGTGACAGGAGAAAAGTGACTTTCAGATCACCCCCCCGTGGCCTATAAGAAGAGATGTTACTGATAGACGTGTTTTATTCATGCCTTCAAAGTAGAGAAAAGAAAGGTCATAATTCTTTTTAATTCTTTACTGCTTTAAGAATTTATGATTTCATGATCATAATCTTTCCATGCTCTAACATCCCAACAAAACCAAATGAACCCATTTTTTACAAAATTAAGCCTACTCAGATCCTGTCAGTTGGTAAAGAAAGGAGCAAAAGCCCCTCAAAATGTTAAAATTGACATTCTATTTATTGATATAGGTGTTCTTCGTATTTATTCAAAAAGTCATTTGTCTTCTAACTACCTCAGAGAAACACAAAGGGGAGTTTTACTTTAACCTGTATTTTCACCGTCGCTCCGATGGCATATCTCTTTCACACGTCAGCACGTAGACCCCCATGTGTGTGCTCTGTGTGTGCACCTCTGCATGTGTCCTGTCAATGGTTTACTAACGAGAACAGTTCAGACTTTTGAAAGTAAACTTTTGGCTTGCTTATTCTTTTTATCCCACTTATTTTATTCTAATCAAAGAAAAATATTTTAAGCCATCCATTTCTCCATTCCTGCTTGCTATTATCTTGACGATAATTGCCTGGTTTCCTTTCTGGCTGATCTATTGCTAGCCTTTATCTGAATGTTATTAAAGAATACAAATGCTCCATAGAGCATCATAGCCTCAATCAGAATATTTTCAGATTCTGAGCTAAAGTGAAGAGAACCTGAGGTTTGGCTGTTGAGTAAGGAGTTCAGATTTGTTGTCAGAGTGTGTAAGGACCTCTGCATTCATTATGTTAGTTGTAGCTGCGATGTGGCATCTGAAAAATAGCTTCAGCCGTTTATGGATTGTGGTCCTTGGGCACCAGATAGTGGATGTTGGAATGTATTGCAGAAGAGCTGATTAAAGTTCCAGGATCTCGAACAGCACCTGTAGAAAGCCATTTGTAATATCTCTGTCTGACTCTCTTGGATATACCTAATTTTTCTTTTTGAAAGCTTTGTTTTATCATTGACTTATCCACGAGGGAATAATATTTTTGGAAAAATGTGCCTTTGGAGAAAACATCAAAGATCTATACTTAATGAGAAGTTTATGTAGGTAGACTGATTTGAGCTTCGAAGATCCTAAATACTTTGCAGTTTTATTACCTAGCTTAGTGCAGTCATGCTTCAGTATAACTTAAATTTCAATAGTAGATACTTTTAGTGCCCGGTTTTAATGAGTTTTTAACTGTACGTCAGGGTGTTTACACTTACTCCAAAATGTAAACGGTGTCAGAATTCATCGTCCCATTCCGCCCACATCCTCTTTGCCTTGGGCCACTTTCCTTCCCCACAGAAGTTCGGTGGAGTGCAGCATGGAAATCGTTTGCATAATCTCAAAACTCATAGATTTTTCCATGTATTTTGTACTCCCCTGTTAAATATTTTCAAAATTTTTAAAAATATTTTCATTGTTTTCAAAATAATGTTCGGATTTCTGAGAGGACCATTCATGATCTTTCTCATTCTTCTCAGCCTCGTTCTCACCCATCCCCCTGCACGTGCCCCTTGTTTTAGGGTGACAGGGAACAGGGGTACAGGGAACAGGGTTACTTCAGCTGCTTCCTTCTACCCCGCCCTCCTTCCCCTGAGGATCCCTTGTTCTTCCCTCTTCCATCACAGGAAGGCTTCCTTGAACTACAATTACTTGCCTTTTATTATTCCCATGTAAACTAGCCTTTAAGCTCTTCATAGCGTATCATTAGATTTTTTTTTTATACTCTGCTGTAATCTTTTGTTTACTTGTCTACCTCACTTCATAGACAAATAGTCCTTGAGTTCAGAGGTTGATAGTTTCTGTTTTGGTTTTGAATTTGGCATACAGGCCTTTCAAAGGAATGTTCATTGACAGAAAGAATGACTTTTATCGATAATTCATAACTTGCTTTGCTCTTGATTGTTAAGGTATTTGAGGTTATGGGTTACGCTCCTTTCCTCAAAGGAGCTTTTTAAAGTGATTCACTAACTGCCATATTGCCAACTAAAATGTTTAATAAAGATAGGTTTTTGGCTTTGAGAAGTCAGGAACTTTATTGTGAAGGGACATAATAATATAAATCTTAAACTGTCAGTCAATTAAAGAATCTGGAATCCCATGTGTAGGAATTAGAAGGACCCCTTGTGATCCCAGGTTACGCATCCTGACTCACCTGTGCGTGCTGTGGAGCCTGTGGCATTCATGGGGCACAGAATTTCCTCAGGGAAGAGTAGAGGCTTCGGAACTTCTTCTTTATTGGAAAATAACTCCTTATAGTTTTTAGATTTTTAACATGATGTTGGACAGATTGGGTATAGAACTTAAACACGGGCTTGGTGGCCCTGAGGTGTCTCTGTAGTCTCCGCATCAATACCCTGTATTGCGTAACAAAACAAACAAAATGCCGAGAAGTCTCTGTCTACAAGGAAGGTTTTTAAAAATAATTTAAGCTTATTAAAATAAGATTATTTCTTTAATAATATAGCAAACTGAGTCGGTGTATTATAGCTGAATCATAGCCCTGGCTATTCTTTTCATCTTTGAATGGACAAATACTATAGTATTAAAATTTCTTGTTCTTCAATTAAGCTTTCCAAAGAATCTTGTTTGTTAGATCTTGACTACTCTAGGAAGTTTGTATTGAAGGTCTTAAATTATATATCTCTGTTCAGTCTGTGATATATTAAAAAATAGAATGAAGAGAAAACATTTACATCTCATTAGTTGGATATCTGCTCATTCTCAGAGATCCTAGCCTCCTTTCTAAAAATATTTTTAAGATTTGTTTGTTGAAATTCGGTATTGAATTTGTGTCAAGTGTACAGATTACAGCACGTTAGAATATTACTGTCATCTGAGAATGTATTCACTGTTTTGGGTTTTGGAGCATTGCCTCCAAGAGGTTTATAGCATTTGGTACGTCGTTCACGTATTGCTAGTCTACAGACCTATCCTAATCGAGGCAAAAGCTTCAAGGTTCTGATTTTTTTTCCCTACCGCTATAAAGCTCAGCAATGGTAATTAATGGTTTTTTTTAACTCTCCATGTCTTTACAAATAAAATTGAATTTTTTGGAGACAAGTAATTCATACCTTTAAAGAGCCACATTATTTTGCTTTTGTCTCAGAATGTATTATGCTTCACAAGTATACTGTGACAGGCTGAATAGGAAAGGGGGGAGGGGACATTGTCTTCAGCTGGCATGCTGTTATCAGAGGGAATGTGTTTCTGGACACGAGATTTAGCATTCATTGGTTGTCTGAAGAAAGCTATTTCATCTGAGGATTGGACAAGAAGCTGCGTCAATTTGCTGCCCGTCTCCAAGGCACTGGTGATGCTGCCTTCACAAGCTGGCTAACGTCACGGCTCCATCACCCAGCGGGGTGTGGACTATCTTTTTCTGTTCTTCTCTGTTTAATTCTCTATTTGCTGCCTACTGCATTTCTTAATCTGTCTTCTGCCAAATGCTAACAGCATGATATTTTGCAATCATCTAGGTGAATACAAGAAAGACGAACTCCTAGAAGCTGCTAGGTAAGTGATTCCATTCATTTTAAGTGAGTATAATGCATTTAAGGGAGAACAGGGGGAGGGCAGGTGGAGGACTATAAAAATTATAACATGTTATTGTCTTGCTTGGATTTTATGCAATAATGCAGATAAGACCTTATACTGAATTTTTGTGTACTTTATTTTACATAATTAGTGTATGAAATGAGACAGTCTTTTAGTATGGTGATGATTGTAAGGTTAATTTTATTTGGAGCATATCTTAAGGCACCTGCAAACCTCAGTTGCCCAGCTTTTCCAGTGGTATTCTCTGAGTATTTAAATACCTGTACCTTCATTTTACTTTAAAATGTTTTCTAATTTTCAAAAGCTTGAAGGAGAGGCATAAAGTAAATGTTAAAGTTCTCATCCATTTTCTTTTGTTCTTGCTCATTTATAATTTAATTGATTAGCTTTTGCAGCATTTCATATGTATTTTTAACTCCTGTGTTTTAGATCACTTATCGGAATAAAGTTTGTTTGTAATTAGGGAGGTGACTTTATGCAGATAAATAAAACAAATAAAAATGTAGAAAGCTACCTTTGCTAAGCTGTACAACTATGTGCTGATTAACAGGAATTAATTAGGAATATATTAATTGAATATAGCAAAAGAGATTCATTCAGAAACATACAAAAGAAATTGAAGCAAACCCATATTCTTTACCACTTGTGAAAAATATCTATAAATACTCGTAAGAAGCTCTGTGATTTCAAGAGAATTGACTTACACCTTTTCGTAGGAGTGGTAATGAAGAAAAACTAATGGCTTTACTGACTCCTCTGAATGTGAATTGCCATGCAAGTGATGGACGAAAGGTAAGTGACTTAAAAATATAATTATCCCCTTCCGTGATTTATTTTTGCCTTACAGTTAAAATGTTTGAAGTTGGCATATATATTATAAGCATACAGAGCTATATTTTTGCTGGCATCTTTTCACTGTACAATGAAATGCTGCTGTATCTGTTATTGGCAGTTGTGACATATTCATAGAGCTGGTGAAGATGGGTCTTCAGCCTTTTCCCTTCAAATGTCAGACACTGAAAGTTGTTTGTTAAATGGAACTGCAGCTTTGTCAGTGATTGGAATTATAACAACATAAATTATTTTCTGTGTATGGTCATGGAAATTGGAAATACCTGTTCATGTCCTATTTACCCATCTGTGTTAGGATATATGCATTTTTGATTTCTTGTTTGACACAAGAAGATTTATTTACTAGTTGCCAACACTTTTTCCATTTAAAGCTGAGAAAATGTTGCTAATGATTTTTTTAGATCTATGTGACAGCCCTGCTTTTTTGTTTATTATTTTTTATTGGCTAAGTTTTTATCATGATATATTGAAAGAAATATATGCAAGCAGAGAGATATTCTGCGTTAATATAGAGTTGTCATAAATGTAAGGTAGTATATAAAATGTACAGCTGGCATCTCATTATCTGCTTCATATTCTCGCTGAATACAGACTGAAATACAGTCCTTTGCAGCCTCTGGTAATTTACTGAAAAGTTCAACATTGTTTTATTTACCTAATAGGTATTGAAAAACAGAGCACTTTGTAGTACATATAGTCTTTTTTTAATTGGCAGTTAATTTTTTAATGTTAAAGGATTGCTTTTATATTTTAAAAACCTAAAATAAAATATTTTAGAGCTTACAACTTACATGTTGAGGGAAATCATCTTGTGTCTAATATTTAAAGAATTAATTTGTTTGAAATTATTTATATTGAAACTATGCTATGAAAAATATCAGGATGGCAATGCCCCTTAGAAATAACAAACTATTTTGCCTTTAAAAATTATTTTTCTGAGTGATAATTTTGTAGATCAGAATTACTCAGTTTTCCTTTACTGCTTTCATACTTTTTTCCCATTCTAATGAATCCCATATAATAGTGGCAAGGAATTGCATCCCTTAGATTATCCCTTATTGTGGGTGACTTGTATATTATTTCATATAGCCTGGTGAGTGTTCAGTTTCCCTGGATAACGTGAGGAGAGAATTCTGTTTTATGTAAGGTTAAATTATGTATATATCAAGTTCTAAACTAGCAAAGATTTACTCAGTACTACTGATAGCTTTTTGGAGATTTTTAAAATCATTTCTCCTTTTTCCTTCCATTGTGGGGTTGCTTTGAGGATTTTAACATTCTTTAGTTACTTTGAAGCTCCAGGTTTTGTTTGGATCCTCTCAGTGGATAAAGTGACTTTTAACACTGTACAGAAAAGGGCCTTTTTATCAATGGTAAGGGCAGCTATATCTGTAGACACAGCTCTTTTTAGAACTCAGCACACTTCAGTTTTCCATAGCCATTTTAATTTTTCAGAATTTACGTGCAATTGCCAAGGCAGGAGTCGGTGTCCTGCCCAGCCTCATTCTCCCATCTGTACCCTTATACCTTGACATCCCATCTGTAGCTCAGGGAATCATAACAGTTAAGGAGCGTGAACACTACTAATGAACAAATGACTTCTCCCTGTCTCACCCCTACAGAAATATATAGGACTCTTTTATTTTTCCTTCTTCTCGAAGGAGGATATACTTCCTTCGCTTCTTTTAGCTGGATCCAGTGTATTTTTCATCCACATTCCTAAGGCTCCTTTTCTATATTACTCTTTGGCATTTACCACAGAGTTCTTGAATTATAGTTATTCATACATGACTTTTTCTTCCACTTTTCTGTTAGCTCTCTGTTGTATTTTGCATCAGACCAAGCACTTTGTATGTAGCAGGAGCCAAAGATAGGAATATGTTCCCTGATAAACAGTTTTATCCTCTAAGGGGAAAAACTCATCCAGACTCTGTGCCATTTCGATAATTAACTCAGAAATATGTGAATAGGGGGTTTTATATTTTCTGTTATTATATTTTACTGCTGGTATTATTTTAGTAATTTATTTTGAGTAAGTATACTATGAAGGGTGACACAGAGTTTAATGTGTAGACCATTTTGAAGAACAGGTCTCAAATATTATTCTTCTGAAGGATTCATACCATATAAACAAATGCAATAATTTTTCTAAATGTACTCTTATTTTTTAGATTAGCAGTGTTCTCAAATTAGGTAGAAAAATTAAACTTAAGCATTTATTAGGCTTTAGTGCTGTTTATGCATATAACCAAAATCATTTAAAATTGTATATTGGTATGCAGAATGCAAATAAAATTTTGTAATTAAAAGTGAATGATGTTTATATGTAAATATTGTGCTTATTCATGGCACAGAGCAATTCTTATTAAATGTGTTAGTTGCAGTAAAGCCACAAAGCAGTAAATATTCTGGATGCTAATGGAGGTTGGGATGAGATTCCTTAGTTATGGCATTACCTTTTGTTTTCTCACTTTTGATGTCAAGAAAATGTGTAAGCAAATCTACCTGCTAAATTACAAGTCTGATTTATATATTTAATGTTTTTTTCAAGCCATTTCCATGTCTTTATCTAGAATTAGGAAGTCAGATTGAATATTAAGAGGATAAAGGCACTTCACATATAATTTAGTCAGGTATATAAAGTTTTATTTGTTGAATTTGCATTTTAGAACACAATGTAGAATCAAATTTATTTTTAGAGGGTTTCTAAATGGCTATATTAATGCTTACCTGAGTCCTTGCCTGTTTCTGCTTTTACTACGATTCCTGGTTTATAAAGTAAAAGACCCATGGAAATGTCAATTTCCTAACGCTTTTAGAAAAGAATCATTCCTTATACATTAACTAGTAGGTGGAGACTTTGCCTCCATATTTGTGGGGGCTTTTAGACTTCAGCATTCCTTTGTATGTGCTGCATGGGGTTGGGCAATGACTGTACATGTTAAATATTCTCTTAATTCTATACTGTGACTTGATAATTATCTAATTAGGTAATATGTGAATGATTAATATTTTTATTTCCCACAGACATTTGTTTTTCTAACCTGTAGAATTCTCAAAATAGTGAAGTATCAATAAGGTTTTAAGTAATTTATATTTTTACATTATGCTTTTATTTTACATGTAAATCAAAGTGGAACTTGACTAGTGTAGAAATTTCCAGTTGTTTTTTTTTCCCTAAAAAGCAAAGGCAAACCATTTTTTTGTAATAATTCATTCTGAAGTGCTACTTTTATGGGAGTATGTACTTGTTTTAATGATGGTCACTTTAGAAACATAAGGGTGTAGATATAACTTATTCTTCTTGTGTCTCCTGCCCATGACAATTAGGTAAAACATTCCACAGTTGCTTTCAATTGCAGTGAAGTATAACCAGATCCTTAAAACAGATTGTTTTCTTTCTAGAGTTCTTTATTTCTGTATTTTCAAACTTAGATTTGTTGTCTTTTAATCTTCCTTTACAGTATTTTCTATCGATATCAGATGTTTTATTAGCAGCTGTACAAATATTCTGGCCTTGTTTGAAACATAAATTTAAGGTAGTGGTGGTCTCTTGTTTTTTAGTATTAATTTTCATAAGGATACCTCTGTATAGTGAGTGAAAATATTTGAATACATCTCAAATTATTTTAACTCTGAACCCTCTTCAGAGTTCATTTTGGTCCTTCTGTTATTTCCCTGCCCTGGCTGCCTTTATCTCTTTCAAAATAAATGGTCTAAATGTACCCCCTCCTTACAACAGTGAGTAGGCTGGAGTCGGGCGTTACAGTACGTACGCACTCCCCCACACGAGCCCTGCATGTCTCCGCAGTGCCCGCTGCTGCTGCGGTCGCGTGTCACCGGATATTGAAAGTGATTAGTATTTGGTTGGTAATTTGCTTTTATAAAATATTCAGTGTAATTTATGGTGTTTCAGGTTTTTTTCTTCTCCTTTCATTCATTTAACCAGCACTCAGTACTTACCATGTGTAGGTTGCTGTTCTAACTGTCATGGGAGATAAATATGTGTTTAGTGGCATTGGTTTACAAGGAGCTTAAACATTGTTAGAATGATTAAAACATTATCCATTACATTGAAGCTAACACACTGAACAAATGTATGATTTCTTTTGCTGTGATTCAATTATAAAGTGTAGATTTAAGGTGGGATTTGTTTTTCTGGCCCTTTTATTTTCAAAGCAATAGCATTTAGACATGTAATCTCTTCTGTAAGAAACCACAAATTTGGATTAACAGGCAGTTGGGGGAGCATGATTTAAATTCAGAAAGATTAACCGAAGGGTTTTTTTAAATCTCACATTTCTACTGTGTAAATGTTTGCTTCCATAAAATAGTTAATAATGAATAAGACTCTGGAAACAGAGAAAAGTGAAGTGTTTTAAAAACTATATTTAAATAGAGATCACTAAGAAATAAAGTAGAATTTAGTACAATCCCTTGAAGATACAAAAAACTGTGTGATGTCATTGAAAGAGCAAATAGGCTCTGAGGTCAGCCAGATTGGGTTCGATTCTCTGCTCATTCATTTTCTAAGTGTGTGACTGTGGCTATACAGTTTTCAGTGCATGCATTCATATGGGAATAACCGTCCCTTTTCACAAGGCACTTCGGAGGATTAAGTGAAATAATGTGATTAACGTATACAGTTTGTAATAATCATCCCATTCCACAAGGCATTTGGGGTGATTACTTGAAATAATGTGATTAATGTGTACAGTTTGTAGCGCATAGTAGAACTTCAGGAAATTAGATGCCTACACCTTTGAAACATTTTCGAAGCTTTTGAACATATTTAGGGCAGACACATACTGAACACTCCAAACATACCACACTTCCCCACTTAAATTGTCTTTATTATTCAGGCTCAGTCCCAGGTGGTATTTGGTTAAAGTGTAGGTTACCAGGTGATCTACAAAGCATATAGTTGACTTAATTATTTT